AATGCAGAAACAGTTTTAGATAGGGTGCACTTTGTAGTATGTGATCTATTTTTTGGCTCATTTTATACCAAAAAATAAATATTCTAAACACAATGTGTATGACTCAATAGCAGCACAATCACAGCCTCCACAATGAACTTACAGTTAAATCTACAACTCTGAACTACTTCAACAAAACTTAAAAAGATTAGGTGAGTGGGTATTTTACGAATATCAGGTTGCAATGAAAAGCATTACACTTAAATCACAATTTTGACTGTGGCTTGCCAATAACATTAAACTTTAATCATGGTTAAAGGGGCAGGCCTGCTGATGAAAGATGGTTAACAAGAAACAGAAAAACCCATAATTTATTTTAATTCTACATTTAATATGATGAAAACAAGGCCCTGTACAATCCACCTTAGCAGTGAGTACAATAATTATTTTACAATTTGTACACATTAGAACACAGCGCTGGACTCGTTCCACCTGTTCAAAATGCAGTCGAGAATGAAAAAAATCCTCTTTGAAACCTGCACCACGAGGAACCTTCCATTCAAAGAGAGGAGATCGTTTTTATTTTTTGGCCGATCACAGAGCAGGCCTGAAGTGAAAAATGTGTCATGAGAGACCAGACGGCATTTATGGAGATTTTTCTGTGAAGCTGCAGCTCTCGATCTCTGAAACCACCAGTACAGACCTGGCACAAATATTGTAAAAATGGCATTAAATATTTCAGTGAAGTGAGGTGCGGTAATTAAAACAACTTCAAAAAACCCCGAAGTATTTGCAACATAAATGAAGCACTCTTCGTGATTTCTCAAGCACTCAAAATGTATTCACTGCTGTTGTAAACCAGGTCTGTACCAGCTAACACTTTGTCCTCTTCTGAAAATTTAAAATCCTGTGGAAAGAAAAAGGCCAAGAGTGTCTGTCAACCTGTACAGCCATCATTGTGCCACAAAACACAAACGTAACACACTGACATCGACATTTAAAACAGGGGAGTGAATTCAAATGTTTTCTTGGTCTCCATGTAGCCACACGTTTGCTTTAAACATGTCGACGCTTGTTCTTGATAGCACGTAGTTAAACGGCAAACAGGCTCACCCAATTCTCGCCAAAGGCCACAAGAAACATGACTTTTATACAAAACTAGATCCCCTCCTCTCATTTCTCTCAGCAGAAGAAATCTAATATTGCTAGAAAACTCCCCCATCTCATGAATGATTTAGTTTGTCTTTTTTTTTTTTTACACAATTTATGGAAGAAGAGTTAAGCTTCCCAGTGTTTCCCAGAATCAATGATGAAAGCACTTCCAAGTTCATTCAAAGCATAGCAGTCCACAAAAAAACTCTCAACTCGATGTTAGCTTTCATTGAATTCACTTGTTTTACGCTACATAAGTGTACACTTTACGGTCCTCTGGTGTTCGTGCCAAATATTCCCTCTCAATGAGTCCTTCAATCCTCTTCTTGATGACAACAGGACTAGGGAGGAATCGTGCTCGCAACTGCTGTGTGACCTACAGAGACATAAAAGACAGTGGACAGTATGTTCAAATCTCTTCATCATCACCTTGATTTCAACCTTATTACACCAGCTCCCATCTTGTACTCCCATCATTCACCACTAGGGGGCTCACTGAGGACAGCCTAATGTGCTGTGTATTCAGTGACAATGTTCACTGAGAAATATTTAAAATAGACTAAAGCATATTAGGTCAAGTTTTCCTTTTAAATCAACAGCAAATGTTTCAACTGACTGACCTCTGCTACTAGAACATTGTGCTGCATCTTCTTTCTCGACTTCATGATGCGAACAATTGCAGCCTCGATCTCGTGCTTCCTGTCGTCGTCCACCTTCTGTCGTGTCTCCTTCCTCTCTGGGTCTGACTCGCCCTGTTTAGCAGCCACTGCAAAGTGAACAGGAGTGGAAGGTGAATGAAACTGACAAGGAGGAATCACACTAAAAACATATACCCTCTTTCTTCAGAGTAACTGTATGAATTATTAATGTTGA